TTTCTCTGTTTTTATCTTTCCCGCTTTCACTTCTTTCCGCACGTCCTATCCTAGCTTCGGTTGGGCCTCGTCGATCGTCCCTCGTTCACCGTTAGCTGGACATCGCTTCTCAGCGTCATGGCTGCCGTCCCTCACGATGTCAACCTCTCCGGATCCGCCTCCCCCGCCAGTCCACACTCCTCCACCGGCCAGATTCCTCTCGAACAACCCCCCAAACTCAAGGGTCGTCGGAAACTGCTCCAGAGTCTGCAGCGCATCTCCTCCAGTCCCGCCCTGACCCGACGCGGTCGTTCCGCCTCCGCCGGATACCGCCAGAATGGAAAGGCCTCGCTGTCCTGTGTCTCGCTGTCCCAGACGGCGTACAACCCGTGCTTGGGAAACGGGAGCTCCGCCCAGCTCTATGGCGGCTTGAACGCGAATCCCACGGCCCCCGGAGTCACCAGCACCCCGCCCGAGCCTCACGATGAGAATGCCCGCATCCGCCTGGTCGGCTCCGAATCATCCTCTCGGGTCATCCGTCTCCCCACGGAGATGAGGCCGGGTTCCCGAGGGTCACCGGCGGCTCCCGACGTATCCGGAGACCTCACCTCCGAGCCATCCACGTCCCAGCCCAAGAAGCCTTTCGATTTCTGGGCGAGCATGCCTAGCGAGCTCAAGGTGCTCATCTTCCACTACCTCACCCCCAAGGAGGTCGTGCGCTGCTCCGCCGTCTCGAAGAAGTGGCACAAGATGTGCTATGACGGCCAGCTGTGGACCACGATCGACACCACCGATTACTATGGCGATGTCTCAAGTGACGGCCTGGTCAAGATCATCACTGCCGCCGGCCCCTTCGTCCGGGATCTCAACCTCCGTGGCTGCGTCCAGCTGCGGGATAAGTGGCGCTCCGAAGGCGAGCGGATGACGGACCTCTGTCGGAACATCGAGCGGTTCTCCCTCGAGGGGTGTCGTATCGACAAGACCTCCATGCATTGTTTCCTCTTGCGCAACCCGCGTCTGCAGTACATCAACGTCTCCGGCCTCTCCAGCGTGACGAATTCCGCCATGAAGATTGTCGCGCAGGCCTGCCCCCAGCTCCAGGTCCTGAACGTATCCTGGTGCACTAGTGTCGATACCGCGGGCCTGGCGAAGGTCATCGAAGCCTGCCCCCATCTCAAAGACCTCCGCGCGAGCGAGATCCGCGGATTCGACGACGTCGACTTCGCCTTGGAGCTGTTCGAGCGGAATACCCTAGAACGCCTTCTGGTGAGTCGCACCGATCTCACCGACGAGAGCCTGCAGGCCCTCATGCACGGTCTCGACCCGGAGATGGATGTGCTGGACGAACGGGTCATCGTCCCCCCGCGCCGGCTCCGGCACCTCGATCTCCACCGGTGCGCCGCGTTGACCGACGACGGGGTCAAGAGTCTCGCCCACAACGTCCCCGACTTGGAAGGTCTCCAGCTCTCCCAGTGCTCCGAGCTGACGGACGAGTCGGTCACGGCGGTCATCAAGACCACGCCCCGCCTTTCACACCTGGACCTCGAGGACATGGAACACCTCTCCAACAACACTCTCGTCGAGTTGGCCAAGGCTCCGTGCGCCGACCACCTCGAGCACCTCAACATCAGCTACTGCGAGAGCATGGGAGACGTCGGCATGCTGCAGATCATGAAGAGCTGCCCCGCCCTGCGTTCGGTCGAGATGGACAACACCCGGGTCTCCGATCTCACCCTGATGGAGGCCAGCCTTCGCATCCGCCGACGCGGCTACAGCGAAGAGCTGCCGCGGGTGGGCTTGCGGTTGGTCATCTTCGACTGTGCCAACGTGACCTGGGCCGGCGTCAAGGAGGTCCTGTCCAGCAATGCCTACGTCCCGCGCGTGCGCAAGTCCATGCAGGCCGTCTCCGTCGTGGCCCAGACGGTCCTACCCGACCAGCCCGCGGCCGCCCCCGCTGTAATCACCTCGTCTATCACCCCGCCCCCGTCGCCCCCGCTGTATCCCAGTGCGGTCATCCAGCTCAAGTGCTTCTACGGATGGCAGATGACCGTGGACGAGCACAACAAGCGCGTCCTGCGGGGAGATCTCGCCGCGGCCAGCCGCCTGGATCGCAAATGGGCCGACTACATGATCGCCCATGAGGAGGCCGGCACGGCGGGAGCCGGTGCCCGCCGACGACGGCGCCGCGCCCACGCAGCCGAGCAAGTCTACGAGCAAGACGAGGAAGCCGATGGCGGCGAAGGAGCCCCGGCCGGAGGAGCTCGACGCCGACGAGCGCAGAGTAGCGGTAGTTCCTGCGTCATTATGTGAACTTGAACATCACCCAATTTACTCACTTCTTTCCATACCACATCCCCTCGCGGAGCGTTTCTTTTATGGCAAATTGCATCGAGCCGGTCCGTTCGTTCTCGATCACCGACTCTCTGATCAGGTTCTGGAAACCCTTTCGACGAAAAACAACCCCCCCCCCTCCCTTCCTGTTGGAAAGGACAGCCTATGCTAGCCGTGCTGGAAGGCTGAGGGAATTGTTTTTCGTCTATGAGAGATGAAATCATGAAACCGCGAAAGCAACGACCTAGTCGTCGGATATGTACCAAGCAGGACGATCTGATGAACCCGACCGCCCCTTCCCTTCTTTTTTCTCGCTCTTTTACCTCGCGCTGCGGATATTCAAGACGACGCGATTGTTTCTTCTTCTGTTTTTCTTTCCATCTTTGCGTTATCCGGACACATCGGTTTCATGATCGAGCGTATGGAGTCAAAATGGGGTTTAACCGGATCGACTCTCTGGGAGAGTCGGTCTGCGGATGATATTTGGTCTTTTTCCTTTCATGTATTGAGTCAGTTGCGGTTCTTTTCGTTTGAATGGGAACTGGTCTGGCTGGGTTGTTTACGTTGCTGGTTGGGTTTAGATTGTCATTTTACTTTTATTTGGCGCATCATGTCAGTCGCGTCATATCTTCATTGAGGTATTGAATATACTACAAAACAGACTCCTACGTGCTGGACGGTGTCTGACATCTGATATCTGACATACTGAGTATCTATGATTGTAAAGTATATAGCATAGTGTATGTAAGATAGTAAATGTGTGGTATGAACAAGCCCCAAGGATAGCATCCATGAACAATGCGAAAAACGAGAGAAGCAAAGAGAACCAACTCCTGAAAATGCTCGAAACTCTAAAGCATGACCAAACAAATCATTCAAAGAACCCACCATCACTCTCCTCGTCCTGCTCCTCAGGAACAACAGGGACAGGGACATCACGCCTCCTAGACCCAGCCCTATCCGCAGCCTTCCCAGAAGCACCCTCCTTCTTCTCCTTCTTCCCCTTCGTCTCCTTCTCCTTCCTCCCCTCCTTCTCCACCCTCGCAGACGACCCATCCGCCCCCAACTTCCCCTCCCGCAACCGATCCAGCGTCCCCTCCTTCATACACTTCTCCACAACATGCCACATAGGCGGCTTCTCCGCAGCAGTAGCATGCACCGGCTTATACACAGTTTTGCTGGTATCGCCGTCATCCGTCGACTCGCCCATCTTCTTCTTCTTCTGCTGCGTCGCGTACAGAGCGATGTATTTCTCGGCGAGCGGGTAGTAGATGGTGTAGTTGAGGTTGACCTGCGCGATGTAGAGCTCTTGTTCGAGGGCGGCGACTGCTGATGCTGTGGGGTTGGATGACTCGGCGAGGGTCTTTTGTTGGGCTTGGAGGGATTTGATATCTTTGGTTGCTGTTTTGCGGTCTATTCGGGATCATTTGTTAGCGTTGAACATACGAAACCAACTATGCCGACAATAATAATAAAAAGAGAGAAAGGAGTAAAAAAAGGAAGACTCACCCAAAAATCTCACGAAATGATACTTCTTAATCATCGCCGACCTATCCCTCCTCTTCGTCTCATCCTCTAAATCCTGCTCGTACCCCTTCAGCGCGCGCTCCTGCACGATCCGCGCCTCGACCGGCAGATCAGACTTGTTAAGCAGACGCTTCGCATCGCGAATGCGCTTCTTCAGCTCGTTGACGGACGGGTACTTGTGGTCTTTTTTGGGCAGCTGCAGCTTCTTCCGGGAGTGGTGTTGGTGTTCGGCGTCGCCGTCGCGGTGGTATTTACGTTTTGGGGGGTCGCTGCGGTCGCGGTAGGGGCGGGATGAAGTGTCGGGGGATTGCGATCTGGAGTGGTCGCGAGGCATGGTTGCGGTTTGTGTCTTGTAGACGTTGTCTTGTTCTTGTCTTGTTGATCGGGTCTGGATGAAGATATCTGGGTATAGAGAGAAAAAAATACTGATAAGGGCCGGACCTTTGGTCGGTCCGGGTGGTTCCCCAGATCCCCGATGGCCAGCCAATCAGAGCTGCAGGAAAGCGGCCGATGACGGGTGGATGACTAAGCTGTGCTTTGGCTGCTTCTTCCTTGTGAAGGTCAGCTGTACCTGGATTCCGACTGCTTGTCAATGCGATTGCTTTCTTGTTTATTCTGACTTTCGTGCAATTGCTTACCCATATCGATATGCGCCTCAGTGCTTGAATTGTCAGCGGCTCGCGTGCCGGTACCTTCCAAACACCCTTGCCGGGCCCCCCGTCGACGCATTACATCTACCCACTCATCCACTGTCGCATCGCATTTGCTGTGACCAGCTATACGCTCCCCTAGGGGGGTAAATTAAGGAAACAAGGTGCAGGGAGGAAACGAAAGGGGAGAGGCGGAGATAAACCCAACAGCATAAAGATAATCAACCATGGAGACCGCCATCCGCTGGTCCCCATCCTCCACCACCGCCGAACAGCGCTTCCTCTCCGTGGACGTCGCCGGCAAAGCCTTCCACCTATGCAGGGTAAACGGATTCGACGGGCACACGCTCCAGCATGAGGTGCTGTCGACGCACACCAAAGTCCCCGCGTTTCGCGCCTTCGATTGGTCTCCTGTCGACGACTCGCTCGTCGCTGTAGGCCAGTCCTCCGGCGATGCGACCATCCTGCGCATGAACAGCGAGGCCGAGTCGTTCTCGTTTCCTATTCGACACCAGCGATACTGCAATGCTGTGGCGTTTAGCACGCATGGATTGCTGGCTGCGGGCTTGGATCGCGTGCGCAATGACTTCTGTCTTAATATTTGGGACGTCAATCAGCGACTTGCTATGAGGGGCGCGAGGGGCTTTGTGGAACCGCTGAGGAAGTTGGCGAGCTCCGAGCCTATCACTAGTATCAAGTTCTTTCGCGATCAGCCTGATACGTTGGTTACGGGCGTTAAGGGCCAGTTTGTTCGTATCTATGATTTGCGAGGTATGTTTCCCTGCGACTTGGTGCTGTCGCTACTTCGTTACTGTCGCTGACTGAAGCTGTAGAAGGACCAGGAAACCCGTCGTTGCAGTTCCCTACCCGGTGCGTCCACAACCTGGCGATCGACTGGCTGGACGAAAACTACATCGCTTCCTGTCTGCCCTCCAACGAGGCGACCATCTGCGTATGGGACCGACGGGTGGGGTCGCGCTTTGCGCCGGGAATTGGGCCGACGAACGTGCCCGGGCCAGACATCCAGCCGGGCCCGGCTCTGGAGTTCCGGAACGTTGTCACGCCTAAGTCGTCAATCTGGAGTCTTCGCTTCTCGCGAACCAAACGTGGCTGTCTGGGCGTGCTGTCCAGCACGGGCCACTTGAAAACGTACGACATCGCCAAGGAATACCTCGCGGAGGACTATCGGAATTCCATGGACCAGACGCTCGGTCATGGCGCCTTCAGGAACTACCCCGAGCAGGTCTATACCAAACATGTCCGGGATATATATAGCCCGTTTAATCACCCATCTCGTGGTTACGCCGAGTCCGAACGGGTCGTATCCTTTGACTTTCTCAACCTCACCGCGTCCAACGAACCTAGTGCCATCGCCTTATCTGGAAACGGGAAAGTCAACGTCGTGGCTGTTAAACCCCCCGCTCCCCCGGTCCGACTCTCGTCCCAAGGCTCCCTGGTCTGGGGCAGCCCGGACGAACTCGCCGGTTTTAGAACGATGAGTCCGGCGCCGTCCCCCGAGTGGAAAGTCTCAGACGCGGTTGAGACGATCCGTGAGCGCGTTCTTTCCGGCAGTGATGTGTTGACTGGGGCGCCAACCGCCAAGGACAGCCAACCTCCGCGGCCGCTTTCCAGCCGGGAGGTGCGCGAACGCGAGCTGTCGCTGGGCACCGGGAACAAGCGTCTCACGGCAGAAGAGGCACTGACGCTGATGTCGGTGAACCGGCTGCGGTGCAAGGAGGGGTATCTATTCGACGAGGCGCGCAACAAGAAGATTGTGGCGGAGGACCCGTCTCTCCAGGGCTTTTGGGATTGGGTCGAACGTACGTGATGCCGGATTTGCGGACTCATAGCTTGGAACTGACTGACAGCAATAGGCGCACGAACGGACGCTTCCGGTGAGACGATGATTCAGAATGGCTTGGATATGAACTACCTAGGGGTGTACGATGTGTGGAATAATGATCTAGGTGAGCTTCGCCAGTTGTCCCCGCTGGAAGGGCTATACTGACCGTTACAGGCCAGAGCTTTGATTCCCGAAGAGTTGGCACGAGTGCAGGCGTGAACCACCACGTCGGCGAGGCCATTATCGATCTGGTCCAGGAACGCCTGAACCTACCGGAGACGAAGTCCCGTCCGACACAACGCCCGGAGCATCGTCGCCTCTGCCTGCGACTCTGCGGGGCAGCGCAAACCAACCGCGAACTAGAGGATGCCGTGAAGGCGCTGTCCGCCGATAACCAGCATACCAAAGCGGCCGCGTTAGCGGTCTTCCAAGACGAAGCCAAGCTGGCGTACCTGGCGCTGCGCAGCAACGAACCCGCGCAAGCGCACAAACTCCTCGCTATGGCCATCGCCGGAGCTGCCAAGGGGGACACCGACTCGGACTGGGAAGACACTTGCGCCGAGATCGCCAAAGAGCTGACCGACCCATACGCGCGGGCGATCCTGGCCCTCGTCAGCAAAGGCGACTGGCACTCTGTCATCCAAGAGACCACGCTCCCGCTCCGGTACCGCGTCGAGGTAGCCATTCGATGGCTCCCAGACGACGAGCTAAGCACCTACCTACGGGAAACAACAGACGAAGCAATCCGCCAAGGAGACATCGAAGGCATAATCCTAACAGGCCTGGGACACTCCGCAATCGACCTCTTCCAATCCTACATCCAAAAATTCAACGACGTGCAAACCCCCGTCCTAGCAATGAGCCACACCGTACCCCGATTCATCAACGACGCCCCGCGCCGCACACGCTTCGAAGCCTGGCGCGAGACCTACCGCTGGCAAATCAACTCCTGGAAACTGCAGCTCGAACGAGCTCGCTTCGACGTCGGATCCCGCAAATTCGCCATCACCTGGGACGGACAGAGGCTGATCGAGCCGCCCCGGCAGCAAGTCAGCCTCACCTGCAACTACTGCACGCGACCGCTGACACAGCACGACGCGTCGTCGCAACTCTCGCCCTCCTCCTCCGCAGGCGAGGTCGTCGTGCACCCCACCCCAGGGAACCCACTCGGCACGGCCGCCATGTCAGGCATGATCTGCCCCCGCTGCGGCCGCCACATGCCCCGGTGCGGCGTGTGCACGCTGTGGCTGGGCTCGCCGGACCCGATGTCCAAGGCGGCTATCGTGGCGGACAGCATCATGCAAGACGACTCGCGCACGCCGTCGGAGGTGGACATGATGAGGCGGTTTGTGGTGTTTTGCATTAATTGTAATCATGGGTTTCATGCGCATCATGCGAGGGAGTGGTTTGCGAGACATAAGGTTTGTCCGGTTGCGGAGTGTAATTGTATTTGTGATAGGTAGTTTTCTTCTTCTTCTTCTTCTTCTCTCTCTGCAAATTTTTTCTTTATTGTGGTTTTTTAAGAGCATGGGGATGAAGGGGTTTGGTTTGGGTGAAGGGTGGTGGTGTACTTGTTTAGGATTTCGATTGCCGATATACCCATTTCATGTTGATGTGATGAAGTATTTATTATGTTTTATTTGATATGCTATAGAATATCTATAATCATTATTTGTTTATCAATAAATCCCGTTGGTTGATATATCAAGGTTGGTACATAGTTCCTAGTCTGTCCGACTGTCAACATGCTCAATTGCACCACCTTGACTAGATTACAATAATAAATCATCTCACTTTTCACCTCCAATGACTCACTGTCATATCCTCGTGAATATACTGCCGAGAAGTATATCAAGATGACCATTGAAGAGAAAGAGAGTGAGAGTGACTCAGCCAGGAACCTCCCACCATCTAATCTATACTTTAGAACGCCGATCCTGCCCCACCCCCTCACAGCTCATTCTCAAAAATCAGCCACCCCTCTGTCTCCCCGCTCTACACTCACCCACACATGAAAACAACACAACACAACAACAGCCATATTTAAACAAAGATATCGTTAAACCATGCCTCCACCAGGAAAAGGCAGAGCCCCCCTCAGCCGCGATGTCCTCGTGTCCAAAGCACTGAGCCGTCTGCTCCGCCATGCGGCTGAGAAAGAGGGTCTGAAGATGGATGAGCAGGGGTATGCGAATGTCGCGGATGTGGTATGTTGTTCTATCTACAATTAATTTGTGATAATTGGAGAGGACGGCGTTCATGGTATACTGGCTAACTCAGAGAGAAATAATAGCTAGCGTGGAATAGGCTCAAATCCCTCAAAGTGACTTTTCCAGACATCCGCGACGCCGTCGCCAAATCAGATAAGAAGCGTTTTGCGCTTCTCCATATCCCTTCATCCTCTACCACCACCACACCCCTCCCAACCGATAACGCCAACGACAACACCGACAGTAATCAAAACGGCGAAGAAAGCACTCCCACACAAGACACAACAACAGCAACAGCCCTCTCCGTGACCGACACCAACCCCGCAAACTTCCTCATCCGCGCCACCCAAGGCCACAGCATCCAATCCGTCGACGCCGCCTCCTTCCAGGAGCGCCTCACCCTCGACGAACCAGACAATCTCCCCCGCACCGTCGTCCACGGCACCTTCCACAGCACCTGGCCCGCCATCCTCGCCTCAGGCGGTCTGCGCTGCATGACGCGAAACCAGATCCACTTTGCGACGGGCCCGTCGCTGGAGTCGGTTCTGGAGGGGCCTGCGACGCAGACGGCGGACCCGCCGGTTGTGTCGGGAATGCGCCGCGACGCGCAGGTGCTGATCTATGTGGATTTGAGACGGGCGCTGGAGGCGGGAGTTCCGTTTTGGAGGAGTGAGAATGATGTTGTTTTGAGTGAGGGGATTGCGGTTTCTGGGGAGGGAGAGGGAGAGGGAGGGGGGCAGGGGGAAAAGATTCTTCCGTTGGAGTTTGTGGATGTTGTTGTTGAGAGGAAGCGGGGGTTGGGGAAGATTTGGGAGCGTGGGGAGGTACTGCAGGAGTTGCCGGTTGAGTTGACGAGTCGGGGGAATCCTAAGGGGAGGGGAGGTGGTAGAGGGGGTGGGCGAGGGAGGGGAGGAAAGAGGTGAGTATAGTAGGTAGTTATCTCTTGGATGAAGTTATAGATTTATTGTATACTGTCCATAGCGGACATCATGTATCCGCACTATCAACCTTCCGTTGAAAACCACAAAGATATAATAACACTTTTACGCTCTGAGTAACCTTAAATCTATAACCTTATAACCTTATACTGCGACACATTCTATCCAACCAGATACTCCATGATCAAGATGACTCAGATCCGATATCAAGTCACCCATCCGATCTACATCCGATTAAGCTCTCAACGTCCCCGCAGTTCACCCCCTGCTCTCTTCCGACTGTAACCACGACAGCCCACGCGGGGTCAAAACAACAATGGGCCCAGCCTTGCGTTTCGAAACCGTGCTCAGCCTCGCTTTTTCAACCTTGCGCAGCCTCGTGATTCGAACCCCTGTCGATGAGACTTGAGTATTTCAAGTTCCGCCCGGGAGCGTCTGTTTTCGAATCAACTATCTGCCAAACACTTCCTCCGTCCATAACTTACGATACCCAGATATACAACACAACTATATCAAATTAAGGACCGACAAACCTCAATCCAGGCAAAATGATTGAAAAAATGCCCACCCACCGCTTCGACCCCAACTTCACAGATAATGTGATCAACGCCATGGGTCCGAAGGTGACCCCGCGCTTCCGCCAGCTCATGGCCAGCCTCACCAGACATCTTCACGACTATGCGCGCGAGAACGAGCTGACAGTCGACGAATGGATGGCCGCCGTGCAGATGATGAATTGGGCGGGCCAGATGAGTACCGAGAAGAGGAATGAGGGACAGTTGATGTCTGATATTTTTGGGTTGGAGTCGTATGTCCCCTCCTTATCTATCTATCTATCTATACAATGCCCGTATCGCACGACTAACAAAGATAGCCTCGTCGACGAAATCACCTACACCCTCGCCGAAGAAGCCGAAGACGCCCCCACAGCAACAGCCATCCTCGGCCCCTTCTTCCGTCACGACACGCCCTTACGCCAAAACGGCGAGACCATCGTCAAGAACCCCCCGGCCGACGGAGAGGTCACCTTCATGCACGGCCGCGTCGTCGACTTCGCGACGAAGAAGCCCCTCGTCGGCGCCACCGTCGAGGTGTGGCAGGCGTCGACGAACGGCATGTACGAGCAGCAGGATCCGGAGCAGTGCGAGCATAACCTCCGGGGGAAGTTCCGGACGGATGAGGAGGGGCGGTATGCGTTTTATTGTTTGAGGCCGACGCCTTATCCGGTTCCTGATGATGGTAATCTCTTCTCCTCTCTTTTTTTTCTCTCATTGGTTGTATTGAAGGATAGGAGGAAAGAAGGTGAAGAACTGACAATATGCCAGGCCCCGGAGCCCAGCTCCTCCATCTAATGGACCGAAACGTCTACCGACCTGCTCACATCCATCTCATGGTGCGTCCAACTCCCTACCTTTTTACTTTCTACTTTCTACACTTCACTATCTACACCCCCCCCACCCCATCTACCATATTAACTGGAATCAAGGCAACCCACGACGACTACAGACCCCTCACCACCCAAATCTTCGACAGCAAAGACCCCTACCTCACCAACGACTCCGTCTTCGCCGTCAAGGACTCGCTCATCGTCGACTTTGTGCCCCGCAAGGATGACCCGCAGGCTAGTCTTGAGTTGAACTATGATGTGAAGATGGCGCCGTTTGAGAAGTCTAAGACGGCTTGATGGGTTTGTTCTGTATTCACTTTTCGAGTTTTCCTTTACTTGTCCTTGTGGGAGGTAATCTCCAGCTCCATGTAATGTGTTTTATATTGATGCTTTCTCGAAACATTTTACGAGTCCATAGCCTTCTACATCTTCTGAATCCGTAGTATATCCTGATACCATAGTATATCAAGATAACATACAACCAAACCTGAAAGAACAAGATATCCAAATCAAGCAGAAACACCCTCAAAAAACCCCCCCACAGCCTTCCCCACTAGCTCCGGCGCCTCAAGACAATGCCAATGTCCAACCTTCGACAAAACCTCCAGCTTCTTCGTCTCACTCGACACCCCACCAAAGATAAGCTCGCACCCCTCCATCGTCGCCGACTTGTCCTCCTCGCCCGCGACTAGCAAAAACGGCGCCTTGATGGCCGCGTAGTCGATGCTCGGGGCGTTCGCAATGGCCCCGCAGAGCGCGGCGTAGCCCTTGGGGTTCTGTCCGATGAGGAGCTCGCGGATGAAGGACTGCGCCAGGGGCGCGCACCCTGAGCCTGTTGCGCCGTAGGGGATGGTGTTGGCCATGGGTTCCATTCCGGCTGGGGGGGTGTTAGTAAATTCTGCTACTCTAGTGTCTATATTCTTTCCAAGGGGGGGGGGGAGATTAAGGGAGGGGAGATTTTACATGAAGACACCGTCTCTGCTCGTTTGGTCATCACTTCCGCTATGGCTGGCGCTGGGTAAGTCGGCCCAATGGCGACTATGCCCTTCACGCGATCGGGGTACTGAGCCCCTAGGAGAGTCACGACTAGTCCGCCCATGGAGTGGCCGACTACCACGGCTTGCGGGACATGGAGCGCGTCCAGCACTGCGATGACATCTGCGGCTATGGACGCAATGGATATGGGCTGGCCGGTGTAGGGAGAGCGTGCCGCGCCGTACGTGTCCACGGTGATGCAGCGATGCCTGGTGGTCAGGTATGGGAGGATGGGAAAGTAGAAGTTCTGGGAGGACCCTAGGCCGTGGGTGAAGATGAAGGTTAGGCCGTTGGCGGGGGCACCATCTGGGTGGGAGTCTGCATAGTGTAATTTGTGGTTGTTGACTTCGACGGAGGGCATTGTGATGGTATTCCACTCAGGTGATGATGCAATTGTTGATGGTTTCTAAGCGACAGGTAGTTGTCGAGAGAAAGTGAGAAGTTGGGGTCGATAATTTGTCGGATAGCGACTTCAGACGTCTACCCCGTAATAGAACCATGCCCCTCCGTCTACGATGCAGATCGACGTCATCGCACGATCGCTGTTGTGCATTCCCGATGCCCACTGAAGTCTTTCCGACCAATATAATTATCCTACCCGGGCGTGCCTCCGTATCCGGTACTGGGTTCTGGATCGCTTCATGCTCATGCAAACCCACCAACATGCCCAATACACTCCTCTATGTGGACAATATCCTCGAATTAGAAGACTCCCATGAGAGGAGCGGGGAGCTCCGCTGATCAGCTTATCAACGTGTAAGCCGACAGCCCCGCCGTCATCCGACCGGCGCGTTTCCCCTCCGTCGGGTCGGATAGCGCCCGTCGATGGATGATTGAGGTCGAGTTATCTATAGCGGAATAGAAAGAGTCCACAAGACGAACGATCACACCGCATCCAACTGGGCCAGTTCTCGTTCAAACTCCTCGTCGGTATCAAACTCATAGCTGAACTCCTCGAGCAAAATAGCCGTGTCGTCGCAAAATGACTCCCCTCCGGGTAGGGAGATCGGGAGCCGTCCAGGTTGCTGCGGCGGTGGCGGCTGCTTTTGCTGCTCCTGCTGCATCATGCCGACCGCTGGCGTTACATTTTCTACCCTTTTCAGGATATCCTCATCGTAGAAAACGGAACAGTCGGAGAACTCATCCTCCTCCTTAGCCTCTGCACTGGGGCTTTCGCGGTCGCCCTCGTGTTCCGTAGGTCCATCTGCGCCCGCGCTCCCTGCCTCCAATGTATCTCCCTGGACATGATCCTCAAACAACACATCCACATCACCAAACTCCTCCTCTTCCCCACCCTCTTCCTCAAACGCAGAAAACTCGTCATCCCCAACGACCTCCGTAGTCTCCCCCGGATCCGTCTCCTCATCAGGCGTCTCCGCCTCCGGAGTCACCGACGCAGAATCACCCTTCTTCAAAAAGTTAAACAGAAGCGGCTGGCTAGAGGGCACAGTAGCAGCATGCGGGTCGGGAATCCCCATCCGGCGCCGCTCCTCCCGCGCCTTCGCCTCCTTCTCAACCTTTTTCTTCCTATTAGCGACACGCCTCTTCTCCTTCTCCCGGAGGGTTTGGGCCTTTCGCTCGCGCTCCTCCTCTCGTTCGATGCGCGCGATTTGGGACGCGCTGAACTGTAGGCGCTTGTTGCTGCGTTGGTAGCGGCGGCGGACGGTGCGGGATTTCTCGAACGTGCGTCGCGGCGGGGAGGTAGGCATGGTGGGTGGGTGGGGTTTTTAGGGGAGGGAATCAGATTCCGGGGCCGGTGGGTAGAGAGTCATTGGGGCGGGGGTTATCAGGGAAACAGAGGGACATTATCGTAGTTCAAACAATGAATCAAGACGACAGTGAGCACAAAGCGGTGCTGATGATCGGAGACATTAGGATGATAAACACCGATAAACGCGGCAGGCGCACTGACGGCATTACGTTGTGCCGAGACTATCGGGCCAGCAGCGGCCGACTGGCTTGAATGGTCGCTCCTTGCATGATTTCAACGTGTACATCATATTCTTGTATCTTATGGAGTTGGTTGTTTATAGAAAATCTATGTACTATCTATACCGGGATTTGGTACACCATTTCAGCTGGCATTTACAGGCGAGAGTCCCGAGCAGGGTCCCAGCAGACCGGCTCGTACGCATTAGTCTGCAGGTTTTTCATGTCCTCAGGAGACAACTCGAAGTCGAAGACCTGCGTGTTCTCGATGATCCGAGAATCGGTCACAGATTTGGGGAGAGGGACATACCCCTAGAAGGTTGAATGAGCATTCTTCCATAATTCGCTTGCCTCGGGAGTGACTCGTACCTTCTGCAAGCTCCACCGGATCAAAATCTGGGCAGGAGTCTTGCTGTGTTTTTTCGCCAGGCTCTGCAGGCTGGGCTCACCCATGCGAGTAGCCTGGACCAGAGGCGAGTAGGCCTCGACGACGACGTTACGCTTCTTCAACCACCCAGCGATGTCCTCCCTCGCGCACCAGGGGTGGATCTCGTACTGACCGACGGAGATCTGGCCGCCGACTCCGCTGTTGATGTACGCCTCCAGCTCCTCCAGGTGGTGGATTCCATAGTTGGAGACACCGATGGAACGGATCTTGCCGGCCTTCTGGGCCTCGACCAGAGCGCGCCAGGCACCCAGACGGCCTTCCTTCCCTCCGTAGGGGGCGTGGAGCAGGACCCTGTCCAAGTTAGTCTGTGTCGCAGGATCATCCCGGAAGTTCAGCTTACAGATCAATGTAATCAAGGCCCGCAGCATCTCTGATGCTGGCTTCGATGGCCTCCTTGGCTTTTTCGTAGGACATGTGAGTAGCGGGGACCTTGGTCGTGTAGAAGACCTTGGAGCGGTCAATTCCAGACTTGCGAATGGCGTTGGCGCATTCTGCCTCGTTGGCATAGTATTTTGCGCTGTCAATCTAGAATGATGAGAGGTCAATGCTTGTTCAACCTGGGATTACCTCTCTTCCATTCGGGGCACCTACATGGCGGTATCCCGTTTCCAGCGCCTTAATGGTCACCTTTTCCGTGATGTCTGGGGGACTAATGATGGTCAGCAATCTAACCCAAACAATACGGTCCAAATATCATGAAGAAAAATAGAACTAGAAGTATGAGATCATCCAAACTGAAGAAAAGGACGAAGGGAAAAAGGGAAAAGAAAAAAAAGGCAGGAAGGCCTACGTCTGGTAAACCTGTTATTAAATTAGCTACACTTAACCAGACAAACAGGTCCGAGTGGAGAGAATCTTACACCAAATCCAACAATTGGGATCTCATAACCCGAGACCATCTTCTGGGTCGACTGGAGAGAAAGGGGAGCCATGGTGCAGATAATCTCTAGTGCGGGTTCTCGAATATAGAGCTGTATGTGAGTTGATCTGATAAGAAATCAAGGGCAGAAGGACCCCGGGCGAGGTATTTATTATTTATTATATCATCGTCTCGGTTAGACCCCACCAGCTGGGTCCTCGTTCATCCATCTAATGAATTCAAAAAACAGACGCTCCGGTAAATGATAGGCCGTCGGAGCCAGCAGCGTGGGGCAAATCTCCGATGCGATGCCGTGTTAGCAGGCCGAGCTCGGAGGCACTCACGGTTTGATTGATCTCGGTGATAGGCATCTGGGTATCGTTTTGTGAAGATTTATCTGCATTGACCTATGCAAACCAATTATTGATTCTCCGAAACCAGTTGATAAGGTAAACAACGCAGAAACAAGAGGGGGTTTCATCGGTGACGTGAGTCCTTGATGCCATGGCGCCTTATCGATAAGGACTCCTTATCCGCACTAGTCCGTGTCGGGATTGTCCCGCCTCTGCCTGAGGCAGACTGTGCGCTCTTCCGACAGCGTCATCAACAGTTCGTTTTTCGAGTTGGTCAACGGCGCCTCCACTGCATACAACACAGACGACCATACTTTCAAACACCCGGTGCTCTTATAGGCTCTACTTAAATTGCTATACATTGAACCACGCCGTCCCACTTGCCATTTGATTAGCGACCACGCCGTGCATCGTCCTTTGAAAATCGGTCCGACCCCACCTCAACAGGCTCGCGTCTGTCTACAGAATATAGAGCGAGACAGGACCTCAACTCGAAGTTACCTGTTACCCGGTTGAACGCGCACGATGCGCTTGATCAAAAACAAGGTCGAGCTCAATGGCTCGGGAACCGTCACCCTGTGTCCTGAGGAGCCCGAAGACATGGTATGACCACCCTACCCCCCCACCATCCCACTTGACAGCCCAGACACGACAAGCAAACCAACCAGCTTACTCAAAAAGTGGCACGCATACAACCTCATCCGACCCGGCGACCTCCTCCGCGCCAGCGCCATCCGCCGCGTCACCACGACGCAAGACACCGGCTCGACGAGCTCAGCGCGCGTGCACCTGACGCTCGTGATCCGCGTGAAGAGCTTGGACTTTGACCCGCAGAGCTCGCAGCTTCACGTCGGCGGACAGATCATCAACGAGACGCCGCACACGAAGGTCGGGCAGCATCACACGCTCGATCTGGAGCTGAATCGCAATTTCACACTCGAGAAGGAGATCGGGGCCGCTGGGGAGGGTGTCGGGTGGGATAGTATCGCGATTCAGATGCTGAAGGATGCGGTGGATGAGGGTGGTAAGAGGAGGGCGGAGGCTATCGCTGTGGTTATGCAAGAGGGTGTCGCTCATATCTGTTTTATCGGGCAGTTCCAGACTGTCCTCAAGCAGAAGGTGGAGATGTCGGTGCCGCGAAAGCGACAAGGCAGTAGTGACCATGATAAGGTAAGCTATCACATACATTACACTTGAGAAACAGAGAGACCGAGCAGGGACTAACGAGGAGCTGGATAGGGGTTGACCAAGTTCTACCAAACCACACTGGACACACTTCTCCGGCAAATGGAGTTCAACACGAGCGCGACGTCTCAGACGAGCAACGAGCCCGTGCGGCCGATCCTGCTCGCATCCCCCGGGTTCGTCGCAGCCGGGTTCCAGAAACACATCCAGTCAGCCGCAGCGACGACGACACCGGCGCTGAGACGCCTCGTCCCCAGCCTAGTGGTGGTACACTCAGCGTCAGGATATCTGCACTCCCTGACCGAAGTGCTGCAGTCACCGGCGGTGAAGAGCATCCTGGCGGACACCAAGTACGCGCGCGAGACAAAGCTGATGGACGAGTTCCAGGAGCAGCTGCGCAAGGAGACGAATCGGGCGACGTACGGGCCGCGGGAGGTAGAGTCGGCTGTGGATCAGGGCGCCGTGGGTCGCGGGGGCGGCGTGCTGATCGTCTCCAACCGTCTGTTCCGGTCTCAGGACGTGGCGGAGCGCAAACGGTGGGTGTCGTTGGTGGATCGCGTGCGCGACGTCGAGGGCGGCGAGGTCCGAGTGTTGAGTTCGGATCACGAGAGCGGTCGTCGATTGGACAGCTTGGGAGGCGTCGCGGCCTTGTGTACGTTCCCCGTTATGGACGAGGATCTTGACTCGGAGGAGGACAGTTGAATCTGCATTGGAATTACATCATACCCAGTAACGTTGGCTGCAAAATTGAAAGGATGACGAAGATCATGAGTCAAAATGCCTCGATCTATCAGGAACACCCAATGGTCACTTGACATTCAAGCCTGTATGCGCTCACTTTGGATACGCCTTGTCTGGAGTGTCTCACTCGAGCATATGCAATTATACCTTTGTTTAGGCTGATATCATTCCTGCACATACATCAATGAATAGATGGGTAGGAAGGGAGACGAAACAAGCCCAACCAGGAGAAAGCAAAACAAAGACACGACATGAACGTTGACAGATGATCAATCAAATCGGGACGACACTTGGTGTACTAGCCCGTTAAGTCAATAGCCTAGAAATAGAACACCACGTCCCCATCCGCACCTGTCCAATTCCCCCTCAAACAAAGAAAAAAGAAGGAAGAAAGAAAGAGTCCATAAAAAGGCCACCATCAGAACATGCTTTAACTTTCCCCCAAACGGTTCACCATCTCGAAACAACGTACGTACCCGAAACTGGTTCAGATCCTCCTTTCACAAAGAAGAAGAAAGAAAGAAAGAAAGAAGCAGAAGGAAAGTAAGGAGACTGTCTGCACCCAAGCGAGATTCAGATCTCCCTGGCGAAACTTAATAGTTCCTATCATTTTGGAAGTATCTAATATCTATGGTGTCATATCCAAAATCGATTGGCTGTGTTTGACCCATGCCAGCGTCGAACCCTTGTCAATCTATAGGATTAGGTTAGCGGCTCTGGGGTTTCTTTCCTTTCCTTTCCTCCCTTATTGATTTATTGATTCATTCATTGAATGGATCCAAATTGCTCTACTCATTTATTTAACTTTTATTACCATATATTTATTGATTTTTTAAATAGGATTAGCTGGGCGTGGCGCTTAACGACGACGCGGAATTAACTGGATTCTTTATCCATCCACCATCCATCATCATCATCCCTGGCTGTCTATCTGTCTATAGTCCAGGCTCAACAAAGTGGCTGATTGAGTATGCCTTGGGCTTAAACTGTTGCCGTTGTTTTCCCTTTCTTTTGTTCATTTATGATTTGCCTAACCTTTCCCTGCACTGATCAGGGAACATGCATGTGCGGAAGAATCTCCGGAGTATAAGACGTGTGGTTTATTTTCTTTTTCCCTTTCATTTGCATTTCCCCCTTTATGCCTTATGCATGTCGTATAGACGAGACTAGTGCTATATTTACTACTGTGTGGACAATAGTAGTAATAACTTATGTCATAGACATTTACCATGCTTACAACAATACGTAGGTAGTAACCACTAAGTGTTCCATGGATAGTAAAAAATGTATGTAAGAAATAAATTATTATAATACTATTCATCTATATCGTAACGAATTCTCATGCAACAACATAACTCGTAGTGCACCGCGCAAGGGTATATGCAATCAGAAAACAGCAAACAAACGGGGATGGATGGATAAGGAGAATGTGATGAGTCGAAGAGGAAGAGAGGAAAGTAGGTGGGCTATACTTTCGTCATAGGGATAGAGGAGGACACCCGCGAAGCTTTCAGTATTGCTCTTCGCCGGGCATGTTGTGGGTCTGTTGCTCGTTGGGGTGGAATGCGCTGGGGGAGTTGTTGCTGGGCGTCTAGTTCGCGGAGTTGGGCTTCACATTGCTGGGGAGTGTAGACTCTTCGGGAGCCGAATTCTCTCATCTGGATTCGTTAGTATCATTAATGTGTCAATCTTGGAGGATGGAATGGATGGGATTGCCCACCTTTTGCGAGATAAAGTTGTATTTCTCGCGCTCCCAGTATTCGCGAGCCCTAATGAGGAGCTGAATCTGTCAGATCGTTAGTCTCGAACGATACAGGAGAGACAGGAGGGGAAAAGAAAGAGAGGGAGCACATACTCACATCGTTCTCGTCCCAGCGAGCCAGACGATCCTTGCGCCTCCGCAGCATACGCATCTGCAGACGGGCCTCGGAAGCATCCTTGTGGAATCTCTCGCGAAACTTCTCGCGGATGACCTTCCACGCCAGATTCTGCTCGCGGAGACGCTCGACGAAGGTGTCTTCTTCCTCGGCCTGGGGGTCTCTGCGCCCGCGGCCGGGAGCCCGGGGACGATGAAGATGGGGCTCGGTGGGTCCGAGCTGTCTCTCGTGCTCGAGGCGCTGGAGACCCTCTGGGTGGGGGAGGATGTTGACGGGGGTGTCGCGGCTGGGCAGTATCGGCTGGGGGCTGCGCCGGGTGCGCTTTGCGCGTGATGGTTCGGGGGAGAGCGAGGCTTCGCCGAAGTAGACTGAGCCTTCCAGGGTGTTGTGGAGACCGGCGGTTACGGTCCGGGGGAATTCGCTCGGGAAGGGGGCCGTGATGCCTAGCCCGTGCGGCGGGACAGACTCGGCGACGTGGTATGCATACTCTTGCGAGTGGTGACTGAGGACTGGGCTTGCTCGCGGCTGGGGGTAGGATGTGTCTGGGAGGCTGATGGGCGTTAGGATATGGCTTGATGGGAAGGCTGCTGCACCGCTGTAGGGATGGCCGACGTCGCCATAGGGTGTCTGGAAATTCGCAAAGGGGCAAGTCAGCACCGGTGGGACGGACCCGTAACTGGATATCATGGTACGTACGCTTTCCACTCCGGGCCATTGGGATGGCACGCTTTCGTAGTAGTTCTCCATCCCTTCGCCGGGGTGGGAAGGGTTCTGGGCATAAGGCATTGGCCCAGTATAGTCTCCCGGCGTCTGATGAAACATGGGGACAGCCGGTAGGATGGTATACGGCAACAGGAGGTCAAGGGTGAAACAACCGAATAGGACAAGCAATAGGGACGACAGGGAAGGGGGACGAGTTCGGCGGGTAAGTTAAGTTGGGTTGTTCGAGGTGGCGATATCCAAGGTCTTATAATCGCAACAAGATGATATCGATATTGTGCTTCGCAAGCAACAACAACCACTGCCTGCAGCTTGTTCTCTGGCCGGATTCGCAAAAGATAATCTAAAACCCGCAAGACTTTGAAAGAAGTAAGAGCGATAGATAGACTCAACCACCCAAGCCCCCATGCAGGTTCATATACGACCGGACAGGACACCAGGAAAAGCCGGGATGCCTCACAAGGCAGGACCGGACAGATGAAGCTCTTCTTTCAACAGGTCGAGAGAGGTCGTCCAAGGGACGTACGAACCGCCGACCATCACTTTGCCGCACGAGATGCTTCCTAACCAGAGGTAGAGAATCCACGATGTATCTGCACTTAAGCGCCCTGCTTATCCTGGAGGGGAAGGGCACCCGCTTTTGAGGGAGAGTCATGTCTCATTATTTCTTTTTTGGGCTTTTCAATTCTATTCAGTTTTATTATTATTTTATTTTGTGAATTTCCTTTTTTATGGGATCTTATTTTATTTTCCCTCGACATGACACGGTATGAGATGGGGGGTGTGGAAGGGACGAATCCAGCCCCCAAACTGGTTCGGGGCGCAGGCATTGCATATCCCTAAGGCCCACCTGGCAGCCTACTACGAGTCGAGTAAGGAAGAAGCGGTTAGCTGGGTCGAGGAGGGCAAAGCCGCAAGCACGATCGTCATTCCCATCGCTCTGGAACCCCATGGATGGTCCGTTGAGCCTTCGACCGTGTTGAGAGAAAAATGGGGAGCGCCCAGAAAACGGGGAAATATGGGCCCTGGTGGGCCAAAGGAATCGAATAGTGCTTAGCGGGCCGACTTCCTCAGAGTGTGAAGCTGACGGAAAAAAGAATCAAGATGATACAATGAAGGACGATCTAACAAGAAAGCAGGCAAAGTAGGGGTAGGATAGGGTCAAGTTTAGGGAAAGCGAGATTGGATTCCATATGCCACGGCAGACACTACAAAACAAAACATGACAGATGATGACCCAGCGTCACGAATTCTCCTGGCGTTCTCCCTCGAATGCAAAGCGGTCACCCAAATGAATCGACCCATCAGGAGACAGGAGGTAACGAAGACGTAGGTACAATATGGCTTAAACCTAAACAGGCCAAGTCGTGCGCGAGAAAATTCTAGGCGAAGAAATCCGGGCTGTCTCAACGACGGCAGTCATCCGCCAGGATTCCCTAGGGCGTAAGGGTAAGCAGTAGAAAAAAAAAAGTCCAAGAGTTCCCATCCCGTGTGGAAGAGGCAAAGGATCGCCAAGATGATCTCTGCGTAGGAGGAATAGCTCCGAAAGCCGGGGAGAATACGCGCAAAAAGCAACGTTCGTGGCCTGGATAGTAGAGGTATCTCTCTGTTTTAGGGCTTAGTCGATATCAGGGTCCGGCACTTTTGGGATGACCAGGATAAAGATTACCACCGCCCCAAGGCCGCGCTGGTCCTGCGGTAATAGCCCACTTGGTTCACGTTCTCGCTCTTTTGGATCACCCTCGCCCAGTGGTTGAATGTAGGTGAGCAGTGGAAAACATCACTCAAACCATCCATTCCCAGGAAGGAAAGGTGACGTTAAGCAAGATAGCCCGTTCTGATCCTGTCGGTTGTTTGCATCCAAGCTCAGCCACGTGTCCCCGAACAGGGAAAAGTAGAGAATCTATAATAAAAAACAAGATTGTTACGCGCTCCAAAAAAAAATAGATAGATAGACAAAAAAATTAGAAAAGTAAATAAATGATAAAAACAAAACAAAGGGTAAACCTAAATCTGCGATGTTCGTTCCATTCTGTCTAACTCTCTTCCCGCTCTCATTCTATTGGAGGCGTCAGGAGTGGATCTGAGTTGCCGCTGGCGGCGCTTAAGCACAGCCATAAGGTTTGAACTCCTCGTTCTTGCTGTCCACTCCCTCGTACGACACCCGTCCAAGCCTTTGATCGGTATGATTCTCACACGAGGACAACCCTGACCGTTGCATTTCGTCCTCAACGTCATCATCATACCCCTCTGTCAGACAGACCGATACTAACTATGTGGACCGCAAAACATCACTACGGATATCAACATCCACTCCCAATCACGTGATATCAGCCGGTCTATACCTGATTGTCTATCTGGTGGTCCTCAGGCCCACACCTAGAGTCGTGAGAAGTTGAAACCCACACAAACTGTCAGATGATTACTCCAAAGTATTTTACTCTCGTTGCCAAAACCGTAATCACCGTCATCAGAGAACAAATAAGCACATTGGCAGGGTGTGTTTCCACCCGAAGATTACTACGAAATGAGGGGCCGATCAGGCTTTTTAGCCCCACGAAATCCCGCCCCCATCTCTTCCCCGGGGCCAGTTCGACTAACTATAAACCCTGGTAGGGATGGGCTTAGTTAGTCGCTACGCTACGCTTGTCGCGACGACTTTGTTCGCTTGTATACATACCGTCGTGGCTATGTCCTGGCGCAGCAATGGCTCGGACGGTTTTGAAACAACGATCTCGGTCTGTTCTCTTTGCCTGCTATTTATAACTATCGTGATTGCTCTGCCATGGACCGGGTTTTCTTTCCAAGGTAACTAGATGACTGTGCCGCCGGGCGGGCTAGGGGATGGATGGATGGTCCTTTGGGGTATGGTATGCTTCTATGCTGCGCCGCACTATTTTGGAACTGACATCATCTAAAAAGATAAGATAAACGAAGGTAGGCAAAAAAATAGGGGAGACGTAAGGGTCGATCATATACTACATCGCGACTGACGGTGACCAACTCTGAAATTGCAGCCAAATTGCCCTCAAAAGGTAGTAAGATTGGAGGTCGTGATCACCCGGGGTGTAAATTAACCCCGGTCGCCTGGCACAGTGGGAGAATGCCTGTCAGGCTTGGAGCCGTCCGTGTGGTCCTCCCAGTGAGCATCATCGTCCTCCACGAATCCCTCCAACCCCCCATGCCCATCATGGCGGTCGTCACCGGTCTCGCCGTTATGCCGGTCTAGGGTGTCGTCGGCCGCGATGGAGACCCCCCGCGCACCCCAACGGTTGTTTCTGGGCCGGTCTCCCTCCAATGACCCGTTGCCTTCTTCCTCGTCGCCGAGGCTCTGCTCCTCGTCCACGCTCTGGCGCTGCCGGAAGTTCAATACTTTGCTCACCAGCCAGCTGTTTCGGAAGTCTTCCGCATCGACAATGCTCCCGTTGCGGAGCTTGACGCGTTGACGCGTATAGTACACCCAAGCGAAATCGATATAGAAGGCAGTCTGGATGATGCCGAAGATGTCTGCGATGGGCTCCCAGTAATGTTCCGATCCCAGACCTCGAACTAACCAATTCAGAATATAGAAGGCTCGATAGGAGCCCAGCGTTACGAGGTAATACGAGTTGAACACGGTGGGAACTGTGGTCTGGCGCAGAAGTAACAGCTGCGGCAGCACACAGACAGATTCTAGAATGATGGAGAATGTCCAAAAGATCTTCGCCCCAACCAGTCAGCGTGGTCGCAAGCATAAAGTTTTCCAAGAGTGGACTCACCTCCGTGAACCAATGTCCGGGGAACCGTCCGTGGAAGATCGGGATCACGATGGGCGCCAGAACGAAGGAAACGCCGACGGAGCCGATAGCCAGCTTCCACGCCCGCTCCCTCTCTCGTGTCCGCGGATAGACCTTCATCATCAAAAAGATGATATAGAAGGAGGAGAGTATGTAGAAGAACTTGAAAAACACGAGGTAAAAGTACGTCCATCCACTTGACCGAAACAGGTCAAGGTAGCGCGAAACGAAGACCACGGCATAGAGCACCTGGGTGAGAAGGGATACCCCTGCAAAATCGGAGTCGTCAGGATCTACAAGCACGAGTCACGACGAAACGACGGGATTTGATACGCACCTTCGGCACTCTTGTTTCGTTGAATGGCGAATATGAGGATGCATTTCGAGGAAATATGGGCCAGGTCGCCCAGTAAACGGAACACGTTCAGCTGCAAGACACCCATCTCCGATGAAAAGAGGCAGACCGTTGCACGTCACCACTTAAACCATCACCAACCGATGGGTTTCGGTATGGCCTTTCGATATACGGAGCTCCGGGGTGAATGCGACCTTGGAAATTCAAGTGGCCTCGAGAAGATAAGGCGGAAGTGGTCGATGGGAGGAGCTAACAACAAGTATGATAGATAAGGGTGGCTGGCTCTAGAGAAGAATGGGTAGAGGTATGTAGGAGGTGTAAAATTGCGCGAGGGACAGCTGGGTTCCACAAGGCACGCCTGTGAGAGTCGGTGTGTGTGAGGCACGGGGACGATGACGAACAGAGCGGAAAGCTTTCCTCACAGCTAAGGTGTCTTATTGTCGACTCCTTCTGGGGTAAGCCGCGTGTCCATCATGTGATTCAGAGCGTGACGTCAAGCGGTGAGTGGATCACGGATCAATATTCATCCGGATCGACGTATTCCATAGTATCACCCATGGTACGATATACTGTATCTCGTCTTCATATGATAACATTGGACTGCTAGATATATCATGTTAAAATATTGTAGTATAATGTGACATACACCAGCTAGACATCTGAAAGGAGGTACTCCACAGAGAGGAGAAGCATTCGCGCAGAACTTCAGAGCTATGGTCTATAGATAGCAGATGTCAATAGATTGATCTAGATCTGACAGGTGTCACTGGATCTGCCGTATACATGGTGTAACGGTGTGCTCCGTACACTTCATACCGGCAGCTTCCAGGTATATCAGGATGAAATAACTCTGTTAAATTGATTTGAAGATAGAGGACAGCAATGTATCAAACTCAGAATTGAATCCCTCTGGTGACTGAGGCTATGCTAGCGTGGTTTCTATTGATTGGGACAAAACATCGGTAATGATCCAGAGGTAGCACCTGATTTGCTCATCCAAGCATTCAGTTAATAGTAAAGATACAGTGTCAAGCATCTGTCACCATACACAGTACGGCATGGTTGACTGCTAACACAGGTCTTACTTCCTACGTGGATATAGATCTACCTTAGCTATCCGAAGTCTTTCATTTATTTAGGGATCGACCTACCCTGAACACTATCCCTACTTATTCTTCTTCTTTCGAGAGGTTCCATTACCTCGTCCTCAATATTGAGTACACGATAAGAAGTGGTGGCCTACCCCGCTTCCCAGCCTCCCGCTATTGATTGACACGGATGCGGAGAAAAGGCTCTCGCCTACCAAACCTAGGAAGAAGAATCCACAACCCTTTTTATAGTATAGTCGATCTGGAGCTCGGAGCACCGTCTGACTTCTCATTGGCTTGGGTGGAGACTGTGTTATCAGTCGGCTAGTCTGGTCTTTTGTCCCATGTCAGCAATTCAGTTTGGTTACTCTATACTATTCTCGAATCGATGCCTTGGGATCTTGAACCGACTCAGAAGCTTTGCAGGGGACGATCCGTTTCTTTATCTTTTTCATCTTGCAAGCTAGTGTGCTGGAATATCATTGTAGTCTGGGGATATGTGTATCTGTAGATGATCGAAGTTGATTTATTCGACGCAGAGAACAAGGTACCCTCTCGAGGAGCATACGACTAGCATAGTTTGTATCGGTTCAATATGGAGATCACCTTGTATATCTTAATGAATCCTAGTATGTGATCCGTGCGAAGGAACGCTAATTCATATCATCAATAGTAGGTCTTTCATTTGCTTTCCCATAACCTACAATGATTAGGTGCTTAGAGGGAGGGGTTATGCTTGCTCCGGGCCCCTACTACCTTAGTAGGACAATCTAGTGTATATCTCACAAGTGCGGAGTAAACTACACATCCTCTAATTTCTTTCTACTAAATCACGTTGATCAAGACTGTCTGGAATTAACCGATAAGTGAAAATTCATAGAAATAGAGCCCGTCTTCTAACCGGAAAGAAAGGAGGAAATAAATCAAAACAAAAGAAGGGAAAAAAAAAAAAAAAAAGCAGCGAGTCGGAGCTGACGGGATTCGTGACTCGAGCCCAGTTTAGCCTTTCGAACTCGTGCTTTTTCGCCCCTCCGGCATCAATCATATCAACTCCCCAAGATAGTCCGGATGCCACTTTAGGACTAAATTTATCACTTGCATCTTCATCCCAGCCCATGACCTTTTTGTCCCTTCTTTCCCATGTATCTCCCTGGTACGCCCTTCTTGACAACGACTCTTCCAAGCTGCAACGACGACCGGCTCACCCTCTTCTTCTCTTCCCTTCATCATCTATGATCTCTTCCTCTAGTGTTATTCGTTCTCCATCTTTTTATGTAACCAGGCCCACCCCCGCTTGAGGAGAGCAAGTCCCTCAACCATGAACTTTGACTAGTAAGCCTTCTTTGAAGCCCTCTTGTTGACTTTCAAGGATTCTTTCCATCCCGTCCTGACCAGATCATCTTATTATCATCACGACTTCCAGTACGCCTCCTCATCCGTATTATTTCCAGCCTCTGTATCCTGATTCCACTCCCACTGCTGCTGCTACTGCTCCTGCTGCCGCTACTACTACTACCACCACCACTACTACTACCGCTGCGACGGTGCTAGAACGGTCCTCTTCTGACTGTGCCTAAGCCTGTTTTATATTATTCTTCCTCGTCCCATTCCACCCCCTCTCACTACGTTTCCCCCTCCAAGCTCCCCCGCCCTTTACCTGATATCCCGTCGTCTTCAATCCAGTATCAATCTATATGCATGTAACATCTCTTACTTTTCTTCTGAATACTTTCTTCTTGTGAAATTCCACATCCGTCTTACTGCGATGAAATGGTTAATTACCTCTTCTTCTACTTCTGTCCTCCCCTTTCCCTCTTTTCTTTTTCTCCTGTCCCCCTCCATCTGCCACGCCGTGGTATGCGCCCGTGTCATCGTTGCTTCCTGGTGTAACCAAAGCTTGCTTCTCTAGACTTTTGACAGGCCAACCTTCACGGGACATCTTGGAACAGCAGTTTTGCTAATCTCCTAAGCATGTGTATCGACAGATGAATCAACGCAGCGTGATTGGGATAACTGCGTATCATCCATCATGTCGTAAGTTCCTTTTTTCGTCCTGCTCACATGTGGAGATACTATGCCTTGAGATAGTGCCGAGTAATTAGAGGCCACTCATCTTGGTTTCTGTTCCCTGTCTGTTCTGATCTCCGTGACCGTATTGGAGTATACCCTACATGGTGTTATATACCGTCTCCTATGTACTGCCCCGCTTCTTTGATTACGACCATAACTGCTATTGTTATCATTTTGCGACTGCGATTCTCTACTGGACTGTCTAGTGCTGAACCAGAGCGGATTCGTGTATACGTTGATTTGTCTCTCTTTTGTGCCTGACTCCATTGTGACTTGGCTATTGTTTTCACTTCCTATTGTGTGGTGTCCACTGACCATTGTCACCCCTCTCGCCTCGTCTTCACCAGGGCCCCTCCAACATCCAAGCGAATTAAAACTTCCGTACCCACCAGCACACCCTCTCACTTGTTAGCTCATCAGCAAATCAACCCTTTTCAAAGAGTGCCTTCCTTCGAGGGCATTCCTATGCCCCAGACACAGACACCCCCCTCGAATCCGCGGAAACGACGCGCTTCGCAGTCTGGTTCGGCGTCGACGATGGCAGCTCCAGCATCCACTGGAGCGACGGGGGAGGCCGCCCCAGAAGGGACTCCTAAGAAGAAGGGTCGAACCAACACCCCCTGGACCGCAGAAGAGGAGCAGCGACTCAAAACTATGCGCGATGCTGGTCGAAGCTGGAGCGAGATTGCCAAGGTAATGGTCTGCCCCATCTGTTTGTCCATTGATATACAATTTCTCAAATGACATGTCGGGATGTCGCAGACCTTCCCCGCTCGGACTGAAGGAAGCGTGAAGAAACACTGGTATAAGGTAGCGCGGCCCCATCCCCAGATTTCCTCGGTCTATCATCGGCTCTGACAATGACTGCAGGATATGCACTACGCTGAGTTTGCCGAGAACGAGGTAATTTCCATGGGGACCATTGGTCCGTCAATCCGGCGCGTGTTCTAAGCAAGAGTAGTCGATAGCGCTCCGCGATGCGATCAAGGAATATGAAGCCAGTAAGTGGAAGGTCATCGGACAGAAAGTTGGAAAGCCTGCCAAGGTAATCGTCCTCGAGTTTGTGTCCTTTGAATCGAGTTGGTGACTGATATACGGCGCAGGCGTGCGAACAATATGCCAAGGAACATTTTAAGGACCTTTAGATGCTTGGTGAGATTGACGACGTGACGACCTATGCACCATGCGATGCATCATGATTTGCCCGCCCTCTTGATTCTTTTCTCCCTTTTTTTTCCTATGTCCCTTTTTGTCTTTCATCAACTCTGGATTGCATTTCATCTCATGTGTCCTCCTCCCTTTTCGTACGTTGATTAGGTCTCAGCGCTCTTTGACTGTCGCAGCAATGCATGATTTCGGCAGCTATCTGCACAATATCGGGCGAAGAGTTCCTGGAGTTAAGCTATGCTATTGCGTTGGTTTTTGATATCACCACTTTCCTATCAATCATCTTACCTCATATTTCTATTATGGAAGCAGACCCTTGGGCATTGTCTCCCTTTTTCTGAACAGCTGATAGGTATCTTGTCCAATGCGAAGGTGTTAATATTACTTGTCATATATCGTTCAAAAACCCAGACTCATGTAGATACCAAATGTTTTTGATTTGGCTGTAGATTGGAATGGGGAGAGGCTCATTGGCAGCCTTGGCTTATTTCGGACAGTGATCAATAGATGAAAATGTCGATCCCGCGCCATTTATTGGATGAGCTGTTTCATTGACGGCGATCATCTGTTCAATCGATGTCTATAGACCCATCCATTTGGTGGATGCGATGGAAAGATCGCTATAAACACAAATACTCTTCAACCATCTAATCGTGTGTATATAGTTTGCCTCAATTATCTAGTCCGATAGTGGCCGAGGTCGCTCCGCTTTCCCCCCGCAGCAAATCTCCTCCGACTCCACTTTTTTTTTCCTGGGCTTCACCCACTTTCCGTGCTGCAAATTGATTCAACCACGTCCAGCGGAGAAGGACTGCCAAATCGCATAGTCGGGACCGACTAACATACTGGCATCGAAGTCTACAAAGTCCGATATCTACTGTCTTCATCTGATCAGGTACCACCGCCGCCCCCCCCCCCCCCCCCCCCGGTACAGTCTGGACGGCGTCGCTCACAAACACCTGCATACGTTCGTCTAGGTCTATCTCATTCGACTGCGGTCACATCCTCTAGTACACCTCTCCATCTCCTCACAGCACTCATACGCAAGGGCTGGCTACCATGAAGACGAGTAGCCTGGTATTATCTCTCGATCAAGGTATCTAAATAATCTGCCCGCATGGAGACCGGTGTTCGACCGGTGCGTGTCGCACAGGCCTGGGGTAAATCTCTGAGATTACTGCAATCCAGCAATCTCGAGAAGCAAGACTGTGCGATACCACCGTCGTTCTGAGATTATACGGTTGAACTTGATCTGGATAATTCCAGCGAAAGGACTCATGCGCGATGTTCCCCTCCCCTCCTATTGTGATGTCGCCACTGACTCATACAGCAGAATGTCATCGAAGAACACAGACCCCGCCGTAGGGGCTTATACCGAGAAGCAAGGCTTCTCCAACGCTGTGGAAAATGGCGAAGGCGAAGCGCACAATGATCAAACGGCAGGTGGACCGCATCTGCCTCCCCGCATGGCTGCGTATGTCCGCCGGGTCGAGAACCGGCTCGCTCGGTACAACCTTGAGACCCGCGGTATACAACGGGTGCAAGAAGACGAGCGAATGAAGAAACTATCCTGGATCTCGTATTCCCAGGCTTTTCTCCTGTGGGTGTCTATCAATTTGGCGCCCAATAATATTACGTTGGGGATGTTGGGGCCGGCGGTTTATGGGCTCAGCTTTCTGGACTCGGCGCTCTGTGCTGTCTTGGGAGCGTTTGTGGGCTCCATTGCTGCCGCCTGGATGGCGACTTGGGGCCCTGTGTCTGGTGTCCGAACTATGGTATGGGTTTCTCTCTCTCGTGCTAGTTTAACGGCATGTGCTTATTCGCTCTAGGTTCTTGGGCGGTACTGCATGGGCTGGTGGCCCAGCAAGATAGTTGTGCTCTTGAATTTGGTCCAAATGCTTGGCTACAGTTTGATCGACTGCGTGGTAGGAGGCCAAATTCTATCGGCTGTCTCTCCAAATGGGAGTATGTCAGTTGCTGTGGGTAAGTCGACCTAAGCACTGGTATCTCATATCATCCACTGACAGTGTTAGGCATTGTGATTGTTGCTGTCGTCAGCTGGGCTGTTGCAACATTCGGCATTCGGATCTTCCACTACTATGAACGGTAAGTAGCACAGGCTTCAATGCTGTGGTATCTCAGCTCAAAGAATGCTAATTGGCATAGATTCGCCTTCCTTCCTCAGGTCATCGTCGTTTCTATACTGTATGGCGTGTCCTCTACAAAGTTCGACCTGTCTACGCCATCAGTTGGAGATACCCGCACAGTAATTGGCAATCGGTAGGCTTCACTGCTCAGGCCAGTCCATTGCTACCCTCGCTAATGCATTGGTATAGGCTTTCATTTTTCTCGATATGCCTCAGCGCAGCTATCCTATATTCACCCCTCGCGGCCGATTTCTTTGTATATTACCCTCAACGCGCCTCTAGGACGGCATTGTTTTCACTGTCATTGAGCGGACTCGCCATCTCCTTCACCATGGCATTCGTGGCAGGCATTGGACTAGCTTCCGGGATCTCGTCCCACCCCGAATACGAAGCAGCCTACAACAAGGGCGCCGGCTCTCTCATCGTCGAAGGATTCGGACCCCTCCACGGCTTCGGGAAATTCTGCTCCGTCATCGTCGCTCTCGGTCTAATCGCAAACACCATCGCACCGACCTACTCCTCGGGAGTCGACTTCCAGATTCTCGGCTGCTACGCAGAACGAGTCCCCAGAGCCATCTGGAACACCATCGGAGTCATAATATACGTAATCTGCGCCCTCGTCGGCCGCGAATACCTCTCCGAGATCTTCACCAACTTCCTCGCCCTCATGGGCTACTGGGCCGCCATTTGGATCGCCATCTTCCTCGAAGAACGCTTCATCTTCCGGCGAAAGAGCGGCTATAACTGGAATGCGTGGAACGAACCCTCGAAACTTCCGCTCGGGATCGCCGGCTTCATTGCCTTTGTGGTCGGGTGGGTCGGTGCCATTTTGTGTATGGCGCAGGTGTGGTATATCGGTCCTATTGCTGGGCTGGTAGGCGAATACGGCGCTGATGTAAGTCACAACTTATCCAAAAGATATCCGAAGACGAGGTTGGCTAATCAGTGTCAAACAGATGGGAAACTATATCGGGTTCACCTGGGCGGGCCTCGTCTATCCCCCTCTGCGGTATATCGAGCTCCGCGTATTCGGGCGGTAGACTTGCAGGTTTGGTGGACAACAATTCCAAAGGCTTTCTATACAGGTTGCTGTATAGCGTCAGTCAGTCAATCGCCTTTGCTGATCCGTACATATGTCGACGTTGTTAAGTACAATGCACCGACCGGGTCAGCTATATCGTCCATAGCATCTTCCAGCATTCGTATATGGTTTCCAGCTTAAGTTAGTATAGTATCTATTTATGAGTATATTGGACTGGGATGGATGTCCCTTGCACTGCAAAGCAGACATCCTCTCAGCATGAAATGAAACCCATATAAGCACACATCCACTCCCAGAAGCCTGTAGGCATGCCAGACAGACCACGCATATAACTCACCAGCAGCTAGCTAGTCGCCTCTCAACCCCCCCCCTTCCGCAATTGGAGTATTCTATTCTAAGTATAGTAAAGGATCACGCGATCTAGCAACTAACATGATTGCTATCATTGAAATGGAGTATGTATGGCATTTTGCACATTGGTTCTTACAAGCTAGCCAAGCCACCATCAATATATCCATCTGTGTAGATCTTGTACCCATCCAAAGCTTAACTACATATTGTGTACAAGTACCTACCTCCCTACATAGATAAATTCACATTGACATGAATCGTCCATCTATAGAAGGACAGCTGATATTCTAAGGTTGCTAGCAGAGCGAGGTATCAAACACGTGACATGGCCTGTCTGCTTCGGGGAGCGTAAATGTTATGTCGTCATGCACCGCCCAATGCCTACCACCTAGGTACCTTACCTTGCCGAGGTGTCGTACCACCTGCAATCCGAGGGCCGAGTCGCACGTCATAGTTATTTCGTGGTGTTGCTTGAAGCTCTTGCGGTAAGATAATCAATGGGAAAAGAAAAGAAGAACTCTAATCAAGTCAAATAACCTCTCGTTCAACACACCCCAACTATTCTACAGAAGATTTCAAAACGAATACAGACAGACAGCCCAATCCAATTCACCGGTCAGTTTGGAGATACAGGAATCAGAAAGTGGGGGGTCTCGTTTGCAGCCAGGAAAGAGTCATACGATATTAGTTGACTCTTCCATTTGCCGAGCCCACCCGACAATCTCAACCCTGCATGCCAGCCTGCCAGCCCTTGTATCAACTTCGCAGTGTCCGATAGTTCTCTTTTTTTTCCCATTACTCAAGCCGACACACTCGCGCAATTATCGTAGGGTAGAATCGGCCGAATATTTACCGGTACCAGTACTCGGGCTTGACGTAGTCGGCAAAGGTCTTGGGCTCGACGTGAGGGGGGTGGCCGTGGCCGTGGCCGTGGTCGTCGTCTGCGTAGCATACACGTTAATAACGGGGCAGGGCGTTTGAAGGTTCTGGTCCACTCACGGTGGTGCTCCTCCTCCAGGGGACCAACGTAGTCCAGCTTGACAACGTTGCCGCACTCGCCGCAGCGCTCGATCGGGCGGTCCCGCGAAACCTGCAGAGAAGCCGGGTTAGCCGGGCTGGAGTACAGTGCATCCCAGAATTAGACTTACGGTCAGCCAGATGACCTGGTGGGAGTCGACGGGGTAACCGGTGCAACCGGCGTACTGCTCGTCACCAGCGCCCTTGACAATGATGGGGTTGTCGAGTGTTCCTGTTGGGCAGAAAGATGGTTAGACTCCGTCCTCAATGGCACGAGACGGATCGTTCGGCGGAACACATTCGACGCGTGACGTGATAGAAAAGGTGGAATCATACCCTTCCGCGAGGCATCCAGGGGTCTCATGTCGAAGATGTCAATGCCCTGCATCTTGCCGATGAGCTCGAGACGCTCGAGACCGGTGGCCTGGCTGATATCGGACGGAACGGTACCAGGCTTGGCACCGGGGGGCAGAAGATCATCTTCGGTCTTGATCTCTGTCAGAAGGGAAGGAAAAGTTAGCGTCATCCGGAGAGATAGTGACAAGGCTACGCCCGGAGCGATATCTCGAGCAAAGGAGCTGCGCATTTCAATGCGTGCCCCCGTTGCCCAATTCATTGCAGCAAGTATCGTAGGAAGTGTGCCAGTCGTTTGCATAGCGTAGACGAGCCAATTGACTATATCAATCGGGGAGAACCGGGTACATACCCTCGAAAGGCAAGATCTTCCCCTCCTTCTCAGCACCGGGCTTGGGGGCGTTGCCTGCGAGGAAACTCCATGTTAGCCCGTTGAACAAGCAGAGCAAGCAGAAAACAAAACCAATGAGCCTGATCGGGTTCAATTGGACAGTGTGTGGCCAGGCCGCCCGCCTGAGCTCTCATGACGCGGCGGTCGAGGGTTGATGGGGGCAGACGTACAGCGAATGATGGAGGAGGAGAAAGGGCGAGCAGCGAAGGCTCTGGCGGGGGTGCGCCGGGCGGCGGCGAAAGCTGTGCGTTGAAGGAACATTGTCCTGGCGATGCTGGGGGATGCAATGGAGGCGGACAGGAGGAGGTCTGGCAGGAGATGGAGGTCTGAGGTTTGAGGTGAGTTTGAAGCCGCTTCGGCCCGTTAGTCGGACGAGGATTGCGAATAAGTCAGCAGCGCCGGTTGATTGGTTGCGGCAGCTACTTCGTCCGCCCACGCCGACCAGCTTGGCACTTCTTCCCGATCCGGACATGGATTAGGGCTTAGGGCTGCGATCGTATGATCTCCCAGTTGCATCAGACCTCTACAGTACGTCCTAGTGAATATATGACGAGGAAGGGGTTCCGATGTCATACAATCCTTCATCCTTCGCCCCTAGCTGTGGGAACATACCACTCTTCCCCCATCAGGAAAGCCAAGCCAGGAGACGACGCGTGACATTGAAGAAAGAAGAAGAAGAAAAGAAACAAAGAAGAAAAGAAGGAAAGATCATACAAAAGGAGTATCAGATGAGCTGAGCTATAATCAAACAAGAGTGCGCCATTGTCATTCCCAAATACTGTAGCATTCGTCCCACCAGCTCAAAGCTGCGTCGCTTTCTCCCGACAAGCAGCCGGCGTAAAACCATTGCCAACCTTCCCAGCCACGATCCGCCACCGATCGTTCTCGTATTCTTGCATTGCACGCTCGAGCCGTTGGGTCTGCAATATTCAGTCAGTTGATGACCATCGTCATCGCTGCCGGAGATCGACATGTCTTGGTCAGGGCTACATACCATTTCGTCACTCCAAGCCACGTCCTTGGCCTTTAACTTGGTGCAGTAGCGAACCTGCAAAGTGCCGCTGGTGCGACCCGGAAAGAAGTCGGCGATTTGCTTCCACGTGAGGTTCTTATTTTCCTTCAGCTCCACCAACAGTGCATCCTCCTCGGGTGTGAACTTCAATTTGGGGCCCCGCGGCCGCGGTGCCGGGTCGGGCATCCCGGGTTGCCCAACGACACTGGGTGGACCGGAGGCCAGCGAAGACGACTCTAGGTTGATCCCCTGGCCCTGAGAGGCGCGGAAGGAGGCCTGTGGCGGGAGGCGATGGTGGTGGTGTTGCTGCGGGAGTGCCATCGAGTCTGGTGGCCCGAATTCATGGCTGCGCATGGGGTGGTGTTGAGACGAGTCACCATGGACGGGGAAGAGCATCTCCTGGCCGTGTGAGTTTTCCGACGAGTTATCTGTCGCGAGAAGAGGCAACTGTGGCCTGATCCTGTGGTTGGCGTCGTCCCCGTCTCCCTCAGTCTCCGAATGGGGCCGCTTTTTGCCACGCTGGACGGAAGGGACGTCGAAGCCGGCAGTAGAATACTGCATTGGAAGCTGTCGCCCGAGCATCTGAGCCGGGTTGAGGACGACGGTCTGTGAGATCTCGTGAACGGATGATTGAGGTGTCGCTGTGGGAAGGACGGTCGCGTTTGCATGGTGTTGCTCGAATGCCGAATTGTGCGAGCCGGTTTGCGAAAATGTGGTGTCGGCCGATTTGTGGTGATGAAGATGGGGTTGCTGCGGTTGATAGACGAGTCCTCCTTCATGCTCTTCGGGTTTACCATCGGCATGTTGAGGGTAGTTAATCGCATAGTCTCGGTAGGGATCCGCCAGCGTCGCAGACATACATCTGCGCTGCTAGAGCTGTACAGCCCTGGCAGGCTAGCTACTCAGATGAAAGGTGGTTCAAAAAGGGTGACCCAAAGGCGCCCAAGGAGTCGGCGCCGGTCGAAGGACGGCGTTTCGCCCTATGCCACACAACCGAGGAGCAGGATGAGCGAACTGTACTTCACTGTACCCAAGCGCCGAGTCAGGGAAAACGCGAATCTCGACAGTGGCCTAAGCTTCTTTGTTAACAGATCAGGAAGTGTTCCCAGTGTGGTTCGATGTCAGGACGGCTGAATATGCTCAAGCTATAAGGAAGGTGAGAGGACTAGGCTGGGTGAAATTGAGCGTACGGGGCCATCAGATGCAGTAGCAGGGAAGGGAACTAGATGAATCCATGGTATGATAGGTGACCCTGGAAACTGTCTAGGTTCTTTAGGGGATGTGCTGCGCTCACCGGGATTTGGCCGATGGTTTCCTGGGCTAACGAGATGGTACCAAAATAAAAAAATACTGGCTCTTGACAGACGCAGATCGCACTACGGGAGGAATCGACTTCTCCAGACCCAGGCCCGAAAGCTCTCTGGTTCGTTCACCTCGTGGGAAATTATCAGCAGATATATTTCCGCAAATTGGCCGCAATCTGCCGCGGGCCCCTGCCGTCACTGAAGCTTCGAGATAAAGGCAGGAGAAAAGTTGAGGTAAAGATTTGCACCCTGCAAAACCAGACGGCCCCGGGCAGTGATAGGCTACAGTCTATATAGGCGGGCCGACAGGAGCAGACAGTAGAGGAAAGGTTCTGGAAAGAAAGAAACTAGGCCCTTGAGATTGCGCGCAAGACACGGAGGTATCTCGCCCGAATGAGAGATCTGCAGGTGGGTAAAAGGAAATAAATTCCCCCATTTGACGGATCCGCGCTCCAGGCAGGCTAAGCTTGAAGAGAGTGCAACGGCCGTCAAGGGCAATAAGGCGAGGTTCAGCAGCAGACGAGATCCGGCAGGTGGGTGTTTGCTGCTTTCCGAGCCGTCTGGCAAGGGGATAATAATTTAAGATGAAAAAAAAAAAACACAAGACGCCAAGCCATGGCACAGGCGTGGAGATAAAGAGAGGGCAATTAGCCGTCAGTCAGCGAAGAACCTGTCCGTGTAGGGCAGCAACAAGACAGCAACCAGACAGCTTGAAACACCAAACCAAACAGAAATAGTCTCACTAGGAGTGCCATTGGCAACTTCTTTGACGCCATTCATGATCAACGCCGGTGGGGAGATCCAAGCCCAATCCCTCTCCACACAAAGGCCTAATATAATCTAAAATTAACTTACCACTGGATACGAACGTGCATGCGACCATGAGCAGATTGGTGGATTCGGGCCTTCGGAGCAAGAGAATCAAGTCGTTCAAACCAAGCCTGCCACTGCACAGTGTCCCGCGGAGAGATCAGGAATCAGCCCCTTGTCATCGCCAACGCCGTCGTATGGACGCCGTCGCAGCAACTCCACTCGGTGGCACCCCAATGGCTGTGGGTGAATAGCGTCGGCGAAACATCCACGAGGGAAGGGTGATTAGAATTACTAGCGGACAATGCTAGCTGCATCCCGGTGGACCGACAATTTGCTAAGGAGTTATTGCCGCGTCCTCTGACTCGAGCATTCAAATGACAACCCCGGTCTAGGGCTTCTTGTCCATCGCCATGAGCAGGCGCGGGAGGACCAAACGGGCTGTGGGCAGGCGATTGAGCAAGATGTAGAGAGGGGGCCAGCGGCGAATGATTTGTTCCGCAAGTCCAAATTAGTATATCGCGCAGCAATATGGTATCTAACCAGTCCCCACGCCTGTTCCACGCTCAGGTTTGTTTTTTAATTCTCATTTCTGTTTTTGCTGTTCGCTTTCTTTTTCTTTGCCTCTTGTTTTCTTTTCTTTTCTTTTTTGTATTTTTTCTTTTTTTATCCCCCTTCGATTCCTTTTTCCCTTGTTCCTTTTTTGGGGTGGTTCTGGATTTTCGATCTCTCCCAAGCCATTTGGCACTCTCTCCATTAGTTCGACAAGCAAGAGCTTGTGTTTCCATTAGTGGCCCCCCACGCTGGTTATCTGCCATGAGGGAACTTCAATCAACCTTAATTGTTTGTGTATCAACGGGGCCGCACGAGAAGCTCGCTCCCTCGCTTAACTCCCAGACAGCGGTCGGGTGCGAGCACACGAATAACTGGTAACTGGAAGAAACCCTCTAGGAGGGGACGGGTGTGTATTCTGTGGCGCACGGTAACTCAGGAGGCGGGCAGTGCACGAGCACTGAGTCCGTGTCCGTGGACCAAGGGGGAAACCACTACTCTCGGACTAGAGAGATACGTAAAACAGCCCATCTCCATCATGGCATCATCATCTCCCCCCAAGCACAAGCCGGATCATCATTGTCGTCACCAAACTGTTTTGTCTGTTAGTTAGTCAACGTTAATCAAGCCCGACGGGAAGGCTAGCTATCTGCAGGATCTCGTGGAGCACTCCTCCCTGGAAGTCTAGGCTATCAATTCCGAGCGATTTAGGGAGGAGGGGGGAGAGGAGAACATTTTAACTTTTTGGGGCCCGAAATTAGGTCCGTGAAGCAATGGTGAAACTGCTAGTCTGGCATTTTCTCTCTCTTCTCGCTCGGACCAATCCTTGCCAAGTGGCTTAGACAAAGGAAATAAATGAATGAGGTAGGCGTCGTATCAGCGCATGCTAGTCCGGAGTCCCGGCTCGAAGATTCAGTTGCTTCGGGATCATCCGGAGACGATAGAGACAGACAGGCTCAGCGGATTGACCGGGAAATAGGCTTGATTCGATAGTTCCGATGAGCGTGAGTTAGGGTGGATGGGGTTATTAGGTTTAGGTCGAGGACGGGAAGTGGGAAGTGGGAGGGATGGAAGTGGGAAAGTGAAGCGGGCCGGTGGGTGTGGATTCGTTCCCCTTAGTGACTAACTTCCTAGTCGTTCCTCTCCTAATCCACCTACGCCTGCCTTAGGCAGATGTATATACTCCCCTTCATAAGATCCAAATGAAAATCAACGGCTTCGGAGTCCGGTCCGTCCTCGTCCCCTGGTCTCTTTACCTCGGTGGATCATCCTGGTAAGGAGAAGATAGAACGCGCTTAAAGACGCAGCAACCCAGATTATGGAGATTTAAGTTCGACTGGGAACACCTTTTTAATTTCATTGATGGCCCTGGGTGGATCCAATCCTTCTACGCCTACAAGGCACCGTCGCAAGTAATTTCCCACTGCATGTGGCTTGCTTATCACTGGAACCTGAGGCTTGTTGGTCAATCTAATTAAGGAAACAGGAAAGGAAGTGAAATGAGAAGGAAGATTAGATCCATCGAGAGAATGAAGACGAGAGAAACACATCATGAACCAGTCAGTTAAGATTCGCTGATACTTGTACATACAGTCAATATTCCTTCTCCCTATTTTCCATCCCAGAGACATGAAACTTTGCTAATCACAATGATAACACTACCACATTTTTCTCCGGCACATCGATTAAAAAGAAATGATCAAAATGATAATAATAAAAAAACGGATCGCCATAATGGAACAAGTGGGAATGATGATGATAACACACGAACCAAAGAAAAAGAACAATAAATAATAGAAACAACAATATAGAGCTCATCCAACACAATGCACTGCCAACGCCTCATCCCACGCTTACGCGAAGTTATCGGTGCGATCGACCCAGATGTCTTCCAACTCGGCAAAGTTCTGGAAGTGGAGTGGGCGATGCTGGTCGTCGTAGAACCTCAAGGGGGTGTCAATCTTGACGTAGACTGGCCGCTTCTCGACGCTGCCAAAGGAGCTTCCCATGAAGCTGTAGTTCCATACGTTGTCCTCGGGAACCAAGAAGTATCCACGGATCTTGTCACTAAGCAGCAACTGGCACTTCTCACCCATGCTGGTCGAGAAGCCCTGCGGATGGTCGGATGTCATGTCCTTGTTCTCAGCACCCCACTTGTAACCCTGAGGCGTCAGCCCCCAAGCGGCCAGAGACACCGATCCAGGGGTGAACGACACCGTCATGGTCACCGTCTTCTTGTCCCAGGACGGATGGGCGTTCATCAGACGGGCGTGCTGCGTGACATCCGTAGACGTCATGTACGAAGGCTCGTTACCAGATATGGTGTGAATCACACCCAGAGGCTCGAGGTTGTTCAAGTATTCATGCTGGGGCAGCGTGTGCGGCAATTGAACATCCCGGGTGTTGCCAACCTGCGGGATCATAACGATGGTCCGGATCTCCTTCACCTGGTCATTGTCAGGCGGGGAGGTACCGTACAGATACCCGGCCACTTGGACGCGGAGATCGGCAATCGTAATGAAGCGCTTCAGGACGTTCTTGGGCATAACATAGGTGTACCCCTCGTCGCGGACCTCATCCGAGGAAACGTAGATGTTGTTCGACCTCGTGCGGAGGTTAGACGTCGCGATGGCCCGTGTCCGCCACTCCGTCTTGGAAGCGAAAGACTGCTGTTCATACTGCGACGTCGTGGTGACGATGATATCCTCGCCACGAACGTTTTGAGTCTTCGTCGTCACAGCGGTGAGTTGCTTCTGCTCCTCCTGCTGCTTCTCAATCTCCGCAGCCTGTTGCCGCTGCAGCGAGGGCGCGCTGATCTCCATACCAAGGATGATATCCCGCACCTCACTACTCGTCAAGCTCTGCACGTTGACATTGTTCTTCTTGCCGTAGTCGTTAAGAATGAGGTCACGCAATTGCACTTCGACCTTCATCCAGTCCTCGTCGGACAACGTGGGCCAGACATGGTGCTCTTGAGTGATAACGGTCTTGTCGGGGCGGAGAATGATCTTCGCCTTGTCAATGTTGACATGGAGAGCACGAAGAATGAGGATCAGACGAGAGAAAGCAGTGTACGGCGAGATCGACTTCAACCACTCATCGTAAAGGTTGAAGAGGACCATTTGAGGTTCGGTCGCGCGGAGAATCATATCGGCAAGCTTCTCGACCTTCATAGCAGCCTGGAAGGGCAGCTGGAGCTCGGAAGCACGGATGGAAATATTGGGGAAATCCAGCAGATGGACTTCAAGAGGATCCAGGAGACCCTTACGGGTGACAATAAGCTGCTTCGGCTGCTCTTCGACGGGCAATGACCGGATCAGCGCCGCCACTTCTTCCGCAGTCTTCCACTTAGCCAGTTGACCCAGACGCTTCTGTCCAGCCCAAACGCTAGTGTGGATGATCTTGAGGAACAGCTGTCCAGTTCTGGGGTTGAAGATGAAGATGGCTCCGTTGATTGGCTTGGTTGTCAAGTTGCCTTCGAAGGTCTTGTGGATAGTGACACGGTAGACGTTGGTATCATCGATGAACAGCTGGATCTGCGGGCTGAAGAGTTCCGAGTAGTTTTGCGAATTGAGGAATTCCTGGTTGCTCTCAGAGGCGTACAGCTGCAGACCCTTGCGAATACGCTCCCGCAGCACGTACAGAGCCGGGTTGGCCTTCATGACCTTCGCCATAGCTTGCTGAACCAAGGTCTTCAGACCCGGGAAGTACTGGCCGTATGCCGAGTACAAGTTGTACGCAAGGTCGATGCCGATCATCAAACCGGTGGCCGAAGGGTAGATACTCATGCTGTCCGTGGTGTAGTCGAGGTACTTGGCACGAACATATCGTTCAATGTCGTGAGAATCGTAGTCACCATACCGCAGTTGCACATCAAGCCAGAACTTGTTCGTCGTAGTTGGCTCGTAAGTATCTTTCGTGTCAAACAGGATGGAAGGACGGGTCACGTTCCACTTGTTCGTCGCAAAGAGCAGGATGTCCGCACACGAGCTATTCATCTTATAAGATTTACGCGGATGAATGGTTTCCTTCTGAACAGCCTCGATACCCAGCTGCTCAAGTTCCTGGTCAAAGACCTGACACAAGTCCATAACAACAGACTCGTGGATCTTCTGCCACAAATGCGCACGGAAAATCTGGATCAAAGAAATCTTCAAGGTAGGAATCTTGCCGTGCAAGAAGATACCTGTGAGATCTAGCTGCACCTGGAAACCAACGTAGACGTTGGCGCGGTTGATGGTGGGAGACCACCACAGAGTGAACCGACGGTTGGGAATCTGGTTCAAACCGGATCTCTGGGCATTGGTGAGCTTCTTGAACTTCATGGATTCTTCGAAACCACTGTTATGCAGGACGAGGTGATCGTGACGCAGGTAAAGCTGATCCTTGTCAACCCGGAAACCGGCCCACTCCGTGGTCTCGGTCTCGAGACTGATGTCTTTGACAAAGAAGCTGCGTTCCTGAGGACTCGAGCGCTCGGCGCCTTCGAACTCAGGGCACTTGAACGCCAAGTACTGACTCCGCTCCTCGGTAGGAAGAGCGGCGAACTCAGCGGCAGTCATCTCCACGGTGTCAAAGGGTTCCGCTTCTGACGCGGCAGGTGACTTCTTCTCCCGGTGCAGAACCAGGATATGGTTCGGTGTAACCACAAGATCCTCCTTGCCTGCGTCGACCTTAAGGCGGTAAAGACGATCTTGACCGTTCACGATGTTGAACGCGCGACGAGGCCCACCGTCAGGACCAAGAAGTAGATCGCCTTCTCGGACATCCTGGACTTCGACCTCGCCACCATCGTAGCGTAATAGCCGCGTTCCCTTGGCAAGACAAGCTCGCTCCCAGAAGAGACCCTCCCACGACGGGAAGGCGGTCGCCTTGAACAGAGTATGCTCCAGGATAGTTTCGACACCACCAAGAGCCTGGATGACATCTGTACGGTAGGCATTCAGGTTCCACAATTTACCATCATGTCGCTGGCTTGTCCACCAGAATGGGTTGCTCTTCATCAACTGGTATTGCTTGAACTCAGAACGCAGACGGAATCCCTTATCGAAACTGAGCGTGCTGCGGTCCTTCTGGAAGAGGGTGTTGATACGAGGCAAACCACGGTCCCAACTGTCTTCCAGGTCCTCCAGCGTCAGACGCCGGTTCTGCTGTTGAGCTTCTTGTCGCTTCTGGGAGTATTCCATCCACACTCTTTGAGAGTCAATGAATTCAGCCTCCCAGGGGATGATGTAACGGAAGATGTTGGGAATCAAAGTCTCCTCGTCGTGAGACATACCCGACCGGAAATGAGTGATTCCTGTGTCGGTCTGCTTGGACCACCGTTTATCGCTGGCGGGAATGAGGATGTGAGAGCCGGAGATCATACCCAGACCTCCCAGTTCCTTTGGCGTATAGAAAACCGCGGGAGGGAAACGCGAAGGCATCTTGGAGTTAAGACCGATTTTGACACGGGTCTGAATCTTGGTCTCACATTTCACGATCGTGTCCAGGAGGTTGACAGTCGACACTGCGGCTTCACGGTAGTAGGTGAACAGTGCAATCAAAGCCGTGTTCCACTTGTTCGCGATCTTGGTGAAGGTGGTTGAGCCGGATGACATGAGGATCTGCCGAATACGGTTGTTGAACTTCTGAATGTCTTCCTCCGTGACCTGCAAGAACGCATGGGCCGTACGCTCCTTGCTTGTGTTATCAACCAGAGACCAAACGCTGTCCTTGACTGAGAATTCTTCGTTCATGTTGCGATTCTTGGGAAGTATGCGAACTTCGAACCCGGACATGGAGAATAGCAGATTGGGATTGTCTTTGCTGTAAACACTAGAGAAAGTATCATCCCATTCAATCGTGGTGATGGACCTCGGCATGCGGTTCTTCAGATCCCAGAACACAGCACGGCCCAGGTTGACGTCGTGACGCATCAAGCGCATTCTACAGTCGCGCGGCCAGCACTTCTTGTTCCTGTATCCAATC